CTCTGGGGTCGTGTTCTTTTAACTAAAGAAGTGTCAAATCCCAATGCTTGGTCTTGCATTCAGCTTGGTTTGTTTTATGAATGAGCACACTCGTGTGTACATCTGCACACATAAGTTCAAAGGCAAGGACAAGATGCAGAGCCTGCGAAGTCAACATGCCGCTAGATGCATTAAGGATCTCACTGAACAAATGCTGCAACTGCTACCCTGCTGTACGAAAGGAAATGCTCATCGGTCCAAAGGGTGTGCATACCCTATAACCACTATCTTACATAGAGTTGATGTCCGAAGATCGATGTGCCTCGTCTGGGCTGCAGCAGGCAATCAGCTCCCGAGCTGTGATGCCATCTGCCTGGGACGCGAACCCGAAACCCTAAACCCCCAAAGCCCTGAACCCTTTACCCCTAAAGCCTACCCCCTAAACTCTTAGACCCTAAACCGGACTTAGAGTTTAGGGGTAACCCCTAAACTCTAAGTCCTAAACCTCTAAACTCTAAGTCCTAGTGCGGGAGTCTTCGAACGTGGAGGGTTTGGGGCCTTCTGCTCAGGGTTTGGCGTTTTCGACCCGGCAACAAAATCAGGAGGTTGCTGCGGCTACATGCAGGACGTAGCAGTCATCTTTGGCGTTTGAGGGTGGGGGGTTTAGGGACTTCTGAAAAGCGTTTGTGGCAAAAGGGTCAAAGTCAAAGATTCAGGCCAGGGTTCAGAGTTCGTGAATTTTCCCGAACCCGTGCAGGAACATCCACTCAGCAACGCGATTATGACGCACAATGCGCGATGTGTCTATGCATTATTAGCACACGTAGCAACTGGTCATCAAGAAACAGCGCAAAACCGAAGACGGATGGCTACTTCAAATCGAATACCCTTCCCCCCAGTCTTTGGTCTGAGCAGTGGGGAAAGTCTGCCAGCTCTCATGATGACGCGGACCTCTACGAAAATAGTATGCCACAGTTGCACTCCGTGAGTACTGCAAGAACTCCAAGCCCTCTCAGGCGCTTACCCAAGGGACTTTCGTCAATTCCAGGCAGTCAAACTGGTCCGAGCCTACACGTCCGACAGTTGGATAGCGCTCTGTTGTGAACGGCTTCGGGACCTACAGTGCAGCAGACGGGCTGGGTTATTGTGCTGTAAAGCTTTCCAGCTGAGTGCATGCTGCTAGTGGATTTCAAAAGTGCTCTGACGCATGTGTGACTCTTAAACTCTTAAAGCGTAATACAGGCGTCAGAGCTGGTCTCGCCTTCCTCCCATCGGCTACTCTTTGCTGTGCACCCTGGCTAGCTGCTAGCTGCACCCTGGAAACCTTCCCAGCCTGCGCTCTCATCGCAAAGTAATTGTGCTTCCTGCTTCTTGAGCTCCTTGTGCACACTTCGAATTGAACACTGCAGCCCAGCTGTACACACATTGGACTTGGCAAAACAAGAACCCCATGTGGGCAATGGCACAAGGCATTGGGCAACTCCGGCTGCCTACGGAACTGCTTGAATCAATCACAAGACCCCCGTCTGTTCTATGGTTCCACAATCTGTACATGACGAGTCCGGGAAAAGCCGGGTGTCCTCCGCCACATCGCCCAAAAAGGGTCGCAGCTTTGACAGCTGCTGAGATGAAAGCTCCTCTTGGTCACAAGGTTCGATGAGTAGAATGTTCGCCTAATCGCTGCAACATACCTCTCTCAGGAGCAAAAGTACAAGCAACACCGACATAATGATGGTCCATATCAGTTTCCAATTTTTCTTGCCAATACTGTAGAGATCATGATTATGTGTTTTTGTGCTCCAGGAAGCAACACGATTTAGTGATGCGTCTGGGTGCTGACTTCGTTGACAACGAGTTTCAGGGCAGGGCACTTATGCCCGAAAACCTAGGAATCTGAGACGTCGCGCCTTGAGTTCGCCTTGGTTGTCCGGGAAGCTGACCCAGGTTTTCCCATCCACCTCAAAGCTCAGGTTTGGGCTTATGGCTTTTGTCTTTCTTTCAGGGTTTCGGGTTAAGCTTTCAGACGCTTGAGAATTTCAGCACTCACTCTGATTCAGGGTTCAGTGTGGCTTAGGGCAGGGTTTAGTTAGGGTACCTCAAACCTCAGCTCCTGGCTAGACTCAAGCAGCTACGACCTTTGGATGATCATACTTCCCGAGACCCGACCTGGGAGAGAAGCACGCCAGCATTTTGCAGGAGGATGCGCTTGTCCTCCGAGCTCTCCGGTACGGTTTGGACTCTCGCGACTCGAGGCTTGTCCGGCAGGGGTTAGGGCTTGGGGCTCGAAGGTCATGGCTACTTAGGCTGCAAGGGTCTGGCCCAAGCCCGCTATGGTGCCTAACCCTGATCGCTTTCCGGAAACCTGACCTCGGATGGCAGCAATTCCGACAATCTGAAAACGCACCTTGTGGAAATGGGATATGGGCCCCGCCCGCCGCTCCTCAGACATGTCACCATCGTTGACGACGGTCCGGAAGAGCTCTCGCATGCAAAGGATGGAAGCCTGACTGAGCCTCATACGATGCTCTTCTTCGACGAATGATTGAAAACGTACGTATCGGCAGAAAGGGTCCAAGTGTTCATGCATCTTCCTCATGGTGTTTTCCACCTTTTGCTCTTTGATGCGGTACTGCAGACGTTGTCGATTTCGCCAACATAACAGCAACCTCAAACCCCGTGTCATCCCGTGCCCACTTGACGGAGCCCACCTGAACCTTAAACCCTGGAATGCCCCGTACCTAAACCTAGACCCCACATCCGAATCCCAGAGACCTCAGCACCCTGAATTCCCCCGCGCTGCCTGAAGCCTAAACCCCTAAGTCCTAAAGACGAAGCGCCTTCTGCGCTTCGATGGCCGGTCGCCATCGGAAGTCTCCTCCAGGTGCAAGTAGGGCAGGGCACGGGTGAGGGTTCAGTTTAGCTTAGGATCTGGAGGCGTTGGCCATTGCAAGATCAGAGATTCGATCCACATGGCAGGATTTCTTCAAGTCCTGTAATCCAAGACGCATCAGTAGCAATCGGACACCTAATAATTAACAACCATGTGCTGCGAGGAGCTTTGAATCACAGTAGGCTGCAATCACTTCCTCTGGCCGCTTGCGCGAGGACGAGGAGGCAGCTGCCGTTGCCTCCGTCGCCACTGCAGGCGCTTCCATGGCGGCCACCACCAGGCGATGAGAGGCTGAAGTTTCTCCCGTAGGGCTTTGGCTTCAGGGTGGGGTTTCGGATGGGGTGACTGATGGGGACAGAGGATGCCAGGTTCAGGAAATGCTCTATCGGTGAGATGGCTGGAAGTGAAAGGCGCGTCACGCGAAAGTGGACGTGTAGGAGGTCATGCAGTGCTGTTATGAGGGTTGCGTGATGCGAGGTCTGCCATTCTATTGAGCAAGGCGAACGGAAACTTTTGCCCTCCATCCCATACCAGACTGACCGTATCGTCGTGACGTATAAGTTCTCTTGGTAGAGCCAAACGCACGAATCAGCAATCTGAAGGTTTAAACCTTAAACCCTAAACCCTAAACCCCCGAAGTGGAAAAACCTTGTTCTTTTGAGGAGGTGCTGCAGTGCACATGCCCTCATGCCCGCCTCACGCCGAAAAAAACCCAGACCCTAAAGCCACAAACCGTTCAATGCTGAGAAAAACATGTGCTTCCTGCCGCAGGCAGTGGGAAAAGAGAGCTCAAGTCTGGCCGAGTGCAGAAGAAACGGCTTGCTCAATCCATGGGATTATAGAGCTGTGTGTTATTAGTACATTATACTATACTATATTATAGTATAGCTTTTTTTTCTTTCTTGTAGTATACTAGACCACATAAGATATAGTATAGTATCCAAAACCCCCAGCAGTCCTCTACCTGTCCACCTGAGCTTACTCGCAGCGACACCTGATCTACGACGTCCTTTTCGCTGTCGTCGTTGTGCGCATTGCCTGAGTAGGACCGGGAAGGAGCCCCAGGATCAGTAGCACCACCAGAGTCACTACCAGAATCAGCAGCAGAAACAGAACCAAACCAATCATTCGGTTTAGAAAGTAAACTGAACGATGCACTTGCACTATCATAATTGATTTAGTTCATCTTATTTCACAGTGCGGATCACAAGCCGAGCCCCTGAACTCGATGCAGGTGTGTGCCGCGCTGGACAAAGGAGTCGGCTACGTCCAGGATCCTCCAAGCCTAAATCCTAAATCCACCATGTTCTCAATCTTGTGTTGACCCAACTCAGCTCCAGCCTCTATCAAGCCAAACTCTCTGGCCCTGTTGTAAGCCCCCACCTGCCCAGCCCCAAATCCCGCATGCAAGAATGCGCAAAAGCTCGAAAGCCCAGGTGCGCATTCGCTCCAGGAGCCATACCCGAACCTCGCCGGCCTGGGCGACACCCCATGGGGAACTTTGAAGCGTGCAGGTTTCTTGTGACATCTTCCAGGACTCCTGCTCAAGCCTTCGGTGCTTTGGTTTTTGGTTTGGGGGGTCATGACTTAAGGCTTATACAGGGGCTACAGTGGCTATAGGTCTAAGACTCATCCTTTCATCTTGGAGCTGGAGCTCGGGATTGGCGGGGTCGAGTTTAATGACTGTGCTTTAGGACGATGTTTAAAGGTTAAAGATGCTTCCCCGAGGGTTCCGCAGTCTTCAGCCGGAGCGTGGGCAGAGATGGCTACGAGGTTGATAGTGCTGTTGCACCCGTGCTCCTGGATTGTGCCAGGCTCGGCCTCATCAGTGCCATGCAACAGTCGCGTGCAGCTCGCAGCCGTGAGCTTGCAGTTTCATCTCTATGTTGTGGACAGCATCTTGTACATCCAGGCCACGCCCTCCATAAATGATAAGCTTCTTTCCTGCCATCTTCGTCAGGACTCCCGTGCTGGCAAGCGAAGTATAACATGGTGGATGTTTCAAGAAGTACAAACCGCACGGGCTGTACAAGGCCAGCCACAGTTCGTCGAAATCTGGCGAGTCTGTTTTTATGTTTGAAAACTGAGCTTGCCACCCGTCGCGGCTCTGGAGTGCCACTTTGCCATGTTTAACTTCGACCCTAACATCATCTCTAGTCCAATCCACGGATGCATTGGCCTTACCCCGTCTAGCACCAGTTCTAGTCTTCCCATCATGGGGTTGCGCAAAAAATGCCGTGGGATTCTGAATCCGGTCAATCTCCATGCCGACTTGTTGAACACGCTGTCCTCGAATCGATGGGTTCATCAGGCTCATCGGTATGTGGCGGTAGGTTTCTTCACAAGCTGAGACGCTTTCCTGACGAAGCCTTGTGTACAGTGCCTGGGTAAGCGGATCAGCAGCACTCAAACGCGCCACAATCTCGCAACAGCCCCGGTGTTGCATCTTCTGCAAAATGGTCGGCAAGGCCTCGGCCCATGTTTCACCACACGACCCTCTTACCAGGATGTTATGACCGCACGCCTTTGTTGCGACACCGGCTCTTGCCACTCCTGTCTCTTGGTCGTGCAGCAAGATGTGAAGTCCTGATGGTGCAAAAATGACCAGGTAGAGATCGTCAAAGGGCTGCAAATCCCTGCAGCCATCTCGTGCGAATTTTACACATCTAAAAACCACCCGCCATGTGTTGTGGCATTTGTCGAAGGTAAGTTGGGCACTTTTCACTTCAATCTTCCGGCCCGAAAGCGTCCAATCCCATTCGGCTTGGTGGCGACTTCGTCGACTCCCGTTCACACAGCGTTCACTCGAGATTGCGCCGTGGTCATACACAGCGCCACTAGTCTGCACGAGCACGTCCCTGACAAGTGTTTCTAGCAGCTTGCCTCGTCTCGATGGGCTTGTCAGGGCCAAAGCGTCATCGGCGTATGGTACGCATGTCGGGCCAGTGTCATTGATGATGTGTTGAAAATGGCTGGCGGGTAGAACCAGGCAGCGGAGGCCACACGCCCGTTGGTTGCAAAGTTTGCTCCTACTGAACACGGATGGGATGTTGCATCGGAATGCTGCCTGCGGAACCTTCGAAACGGTCATCTTGAGCCAGGAACTTCGCCCTAAACCTCGAAGATGTCCTGCTACCGGAGTCACGTGAGATCGTGCGAGGGCCGGGTCTAAGTGGCAAACGGTTGGAGAAGATTATGCCTCAGCCCCAATGCTGAGACAGGAAGCTTGGTGACTTACGGATTCTCGGCCGGTTGCCATATTGAAGCTCTGGGTCACTCTCGAGGTTGACATGCTTCATGCATGCATCCCGCATCACATGTCAATGTACAAAGAAGTAGACCTCCGAATCGAGTCTGCAAAGCACGACCCGCCGGAGATCGCGAACCCGAGACTAAACACCTTCCTGCGCCAACAGCTCCTCCGCAGGTCCTCGCCGCTCAGAACCAGCACCCCAAGGAGCTTGAACCCTCCAGACTCCAAGCCCTAGCCCTGAACACAAACGGACAAAATATACCCTGAACCCTAAACCAAAAAAACTCGATGTTATATAGATGTCCCAAACAAGCGTGTCCCGGCTTCCAGGCCCAGGCCTGGGATGGCTCCTTGTCCCAACACCTGGGAGTCTCACAGGAAGCGAAGGGATCCCCACCTCTGGGGCCTACTTACTTGGGTCCTGGGATCCCCGTTTGACAAGGATCCCTGAGTACAGATGACAAAGGCATCCCATCTCGTCGGCCCTGGGTCCTGGGATCCCTACAGCAAGGACCCCTACATGCGCTACTCCTAGTTTTTTCTGAAACTTTCAGCTTGTTGGGAGTTTTATAGAAGCTTTCCGATGGGTTGTGATGCTCGATTTGAGCATGAAGCTGTTGGTATCCGCCTGGCGATTGCAACTTTGAAGCCTTGCGGATGTAGCGTTTGGATAGTTCCAAATAATAGCACCTTGGGCGCATACTGCAGGTCCAATCCCGATGGAATGACGGGTCCCCTATCAAAGAAACAACCTGTGCTTATTCAACCGAGACGGGTACTCAATGCTCACAAGCACAGCAACAGCAGGAGGCATTGCCCATCCTGTCGGGAGCCCCTCGCTCCTCAGCCCCGCACGTAAACCCCAACCCTGAACCCTAAACCCTCCAGTAGGAGTTCCGCCGAGATTTCGACTTCGAAGTCTTTCAGTTTGGGCTTGCGGACTGGAAGGTTTCGACTCACACACTCGCACAAGGCTGGCATGGCTGATGAAGGTCCGCGCTGGAAGGTTTAGGGTTTGGGATTCGGTGTATACTTAGGGACCCTAAATCTTTGGGGCCCCCAACCGTATCTGCTACATCCCCAAAACCCTGAGATCTTTGCAAAGCCCGGTGCGCCACCCTAAGCCCTAAGTCATCTGCTTCTTGAATCCTGAACATGAGTGGCCCACATATGCTGCAGCAGCAAGAGGTCCAGCTCGGACACTTCGTTGCTTCCTGCCTTGTCTTACATTCGCATTGCGACTGTTCGCCACTGACGCTTGACGTTTACGGGTCTTAGAGCCTTGCCGTTTGGACCCCACGCCCTGAGTGTTGATTTCTTTGTGTCAGTTGGAGATTCGGGGTTTAGGGTAGAGAGTCATAGTTGTTGAACCTTCAGACACACTAGAGTCACTAGAGCTACTGCTGCAAGAGCTTAGTGGATCCAAAGTGTTTGTGACTGAGCTGTGCAAAACAGACCTGCCTGCCTGCCTGCCCGCCGGCCTGCCTACCTTCCTACCTACCTGGACCTACCTACTACCCAGCTCCCTATACGCAATCGCATGCATACACGCAGTGAATGCGTCCGTGCCTGAGTAGATGACCAAGCTTTGTCTGCTTACTTTCTGCCTACTCCATACAGCATCCTACAGTTGGAGGAGGGCTTCTAAGCTCGAGGCCTGTCTTCTGCCGATTGGGGCCATATGCATGTATGTGTAAAACCAAGTGTTTAAACAAATAGACAACCAAATAAGTATGCATGTCATATATATATATATATGTGTGTGTGTATGTATGTATACCTGAGTACAAAGGGGTGCCATCTTCCTGGCTTGTGGGAATGCAGAAGCCCCTCTCACATATGCATCTACAGAATACTGAAGTTCTGCTGTTGCTTTCTCATGCGCACTGCAAAGCATAGCCCTCCCGCGAGTATGCAGCCTGACTTTCGGCTCCTAGGTCTAACTTCAAGATGCCACGAGTACATGCTCCGTGTTCAAACAGAGTTCAGATGACAGAGTCTTACTTGCTTAGCCAAGTCTCGACACTCCTGACTTGGAGACTGCAACTGACGGAGTTGCTGCATTGAGGCAATGTATCCCTGAGGCGTATGATCCCTCCTGCACCTTTCCGTTCGAGAAACTTCGCCTTTAGCCCCAGTGTCAAGAAATGCCCAATTCCCGGCAGCCTAACACACTAAAGCGCAACGAGAACCCTTAACCCCACAGCTTAAGGCCCCAAGCCACTCGATTCTGGAGGGTAGTGGGGGGAGGGAGTTATGATGATATAAGGGTCGAAATTAGGGAACTTCTCTCTCTCTCTCTCTCTCTCTCTCTCTCTCCCTCCCCATATATATATATATGGAGTAACAAGGCGTGTTCTTGATTTTCAAGCCTCTGTGTCATGCTTTACTGGCTCCTGTAGGGCTCAACAGTTACGGCAACGAAGAACAATACCTTCGTGCTGTTTCCAATAACCATCGGGGGTCTGTTGCCAAAAAAACTCGAACATGTGCGTGAGGGCTTAGGCTTTAGGTACCCTCTCACCTCCAATGGAAAAACCAACGTTAACTAACCACCGATGGGCAGCTTGTTTTTGCGGCGCCATTGCTCAACAGGTCCCAGCCAATAAAAACGAGCATGTGCGCACAGGCCAGGCCCTAGCTGCTAGCTAAGACGGCACCCAAGAAACATCAGAGCTTGCTGTCTGCTTGCAGCTGTGACAAGCTATGACGCAAGGTTGCGCGGGAGAAGCTGCATGTGCGTCTTCGTGCACCGTTCAAAGGCTCTAGAAGCAATGCCAAGGAATGTTGCGCCCGGGCACAAGCGAAGAAGCCATGGGGGATTGCCAAACCTGGTCGTGCACCACATGGTCATTAACGTGGTCCGTGTCCTAGCCGTATTGCTGATTACAGTCTACAAACAAACAAGGCCCCCGGCAAATTGCCATCTCCCGTCCGGTGCACTTCAACCGTTGCGGCTGCCGCACAGGGGAAACCCGAAAGAGCTAGGCATCGGGTGAGTTTTTGCGAATCGAGAAATGACAGGATTTAGCTGCCTTGAAGCAACTAACCTGCCGGCTCAACTCACGTTAAGCAAACGTAGGAACTAGTAACTAGAAGCATCTAGAAATCCAAAGTGAACGGCGAGCTTCCACGGCCGATCTCCTGATTCCACTCTGAAATGTTAGACCAAATGTCTGCCAGGACTGTTGAGGGATGCCTCGAAAAGAACCATTCTCTCACAAAGCTAGCTGGCCGCTGTAGCCAAAGAGTGCTATTCCGATAGCACTGGAACTCATCCTGTGGAAACTTCACTCGCAGACCTCGCTCGATGACCCGCCCGATAGACTTGTGCACAAAAACCGCATCATGCATTGCAAGCTGAAGCAGATGATACCCAAATGGCCGAAACTTGTGCAGCGCGTAGCTCAAGGAGCACCCGGCCGTAGGCATGAATGTTTCCATGTCGTAGTCCTGGTCCCAAATCGGAGAATGGTCCATGTGCCATTGCTGCGAGAACCGAAAGGGCGGAGGAATATGGGCCAAAATTTCCAGCTGGATAACCTTTGGCCTGACCACCCGCATGAGCTCCTCAATGATGAGACAATCGACGCCGTCAACATCTACGACCAACACATCCAGGGGCCAGGGTTTCGGAGACTGACCAAAGATCTTCTCCAAATGAGGCCGCAGCTGCTCAGCAGCAGAGATCGGATCCATGGTCAGGGATACCGGCAGCACCCTTCCCGGGGTCGCGTTCATCACTTTCACGCACTTCTTCAAGCGAGCCTGGTTCGCCTCTACGGCGATGCCAACGAAGCCTTGACCTGCGTCCGATGCCAGAAGTTGATACAAGGGATCTGGCGACTCACACGTTCCGGCCCCGATGTTGAGAAAGGTGCGCGACATGGGCTGCCTGGAAGCGAGAAGTAGGGAGACCAGTGGCAAGAGGACCTCTGACCCATCGGACCGGTAATCTGCTGAGTGGCAGATGGCTCCGGGACGATGTTTGCCGACGCGGAAATAGAGTTGTGTGGACTTCAGGGCGTCCTCGTCTATCGGATAACCTCCGAACCTTGGGTGTTGGGGTTTGCAGCTCCCTCATTCAGGTTCCTAGGTCATAGGTAGGCTAAGTAGACCCGGTAGAAACAAATGAGATAATGAAGGCCCTAGCCACAGACTGTGAAAATACTCCAACTCGGGAGGACCCATGAACGAGGTAAGATCATGGAATACCTTGTACAGAAGCACACCATCCGCGGAGATGCCGTTGTTGCAGCAGTGATCCCGGATGCTTTCAACTGTCCAGCACAATGTCTCGGGTGGAGAGTCTGGCAGGGGGCAGCACCAATCAGGATGGCGGGTATGGGACCAGCACGACGCCGCAATCATCATTTGGTCCTGGCGCGGTCCAGCACGTCGCACCTGGTAAACTTCGCCTGCTGCGCCGTTGACTTCTTCCACGACAAGCTTAGCATAGGGGTCCACAGCCACAGTTTCAGCAAAGTTTCTCGAGCTCCCTCTGTAGGCATGGGGCTGGCTCCCTTCAGGCACATAGGGCATGCGAAGCTGCTCCCCCCGGCTCTCAAAGCAGAAGTGCCGGCCTGAGAACTTGCACTCCAGCGGCGAGCCTCGCCAGCAGCCATATTCAGGATTGTATTGCCAAACTTCGCACGCTTTGTCAGCACAGCAGGTGCTGCGGCAGAGCTCGATGCTCGTAGAATTCTGGTCGTGTACGAGACCAAAGCATTGCTTGCCGTCCAACTTTCCGAGCACCGGGCAGGCAGGTTCTGCAGAAATGCCAGCGACGGCCATTGTAGCTGCAGCAAGCATGGCCCCCAAAGGCGTCTAGTTTACGTCATGTTCCAGGACGGAACATTGGGGGAATCTCTGGCCTTCCGACATTCGTCCTGAAAAGAGGGCTTAGAGTTTTGGGGTTTGGGGTTCTGAGTTTCGGGGCTTCAGCACAGGTTGGGGATGCCGCTCATTGAGTTTATCTAGTTTCGGTTTCAGCTCATACAGGAAGGAGCCACGCCAGGCCGATACCGGTCGCTGAGTGTTGGTTTTCCGGAATCTCGGGAGGAACTTCAATGGAGGATGTCCACCAGCAAAGGTCAACATAGGGACAAAACACCGAATCCCCCTCCTACAGCAACAACTGTACAGTAGCCCTTTCGGAACCTTTAGAGCCCCCCAACCCAAATAATGGCCTCTCTACTAGCACATGTAGCTCCGATAAATGCTCCGGGATCCCAGGCAGCGAAGGCCGCGAGGCGGATCAGCCGCACAGCCTCATCGGGCTTTTGGTTTCGACTCTCGCAACTCAGACTCTGTAGGGCTTAGGATGCACGATTGATCGCAGAAGGCAACTCGCAAGAGTTAGCGTAAAGACGAAGCCGTTGACGTACTAGAGAATAAAAGATAACCTTTCGTCATACTGACTTCAGGTCCTCACACAGATCCGAAACTGCACTGACAAGTATATGCCCTACCTGCCATCATCTAGCCTGCTTAAGACTGCTGTCTTTGTACAACTGGACAACAAATAAAAGCAGGGAGAGCCTTCCCCATCCTCCGATCGGAGAGTCGAACTGGAGGCTCCGCTTCGTCTCGGAGATAGGCCCTGCTGATTGGGAACAGGAGCTTTGGAGACAAATGCAAATCCAGTTAGTTGGGTTTGGGATGGGCGCCCTGATTCCTTCTGAAGCCACAGTTGTGAAAAAAAACACACCTGCTTTCTGTCAGGGTCTAGGGCCAAGGGCTACGGCCTATTTAATCTATGTAGGGGTATGAGAGTTCTGGGGTTTATACGTATATGTATTGGAAATGTACTCCTCAATGGCACGGAAACCCGAACCCGAAGTCAAATCCCTCTGCCTGAGACCAACGATCAAGTCCAGGAGGCGATCCTGGGCAGTGCGCACGAGTTTCGGGTTTAGGTCTTCGGGGCTACAAGGCGTTTAGGCTTTCCGAAGTTCGGGCCCTGCGCTTCCGGTTTTTTCTGGCAAGCCCAGATGAACGGACGGCTTGTCCCGCACCGGAGGCCCTGGGGAAGCAACGGCCGGGAGATTGGAGTGAGCCTCCCTACAGTACTCCCCAGATCCTGGGCTTCGCCCTCGTAGGCACTCTCCCCTCTCTCTCTCTCTC